TTAAAGATTTCTGTCCAAAGCGTAGGCAATTTAAGTTCCAAAAGTCTGCTCTTTTGACATAATGATACCCATGCCCACCAACTAATAATAAAAAGTCTCAGGTGAAAGATGATCTATCAATTCCCAATAATTGATAGTACTACAAAGAAAACAATTTTCCATATCCAGAGATAACCCGACTTTTGGGAGGTTTTTTATTTCGTTTTGTTTTGGCTACCTCTGGGATCAGAAGTGAATGAAATCCATTCCTCTCTGAGAGAAAGGACAAAAGAATGCCATAAAGTTAGCTCCAGAAGAGGTAAAACCAATCCCTCATGGTTCATGGTTATTTCCTTAACAAGAACAGAACTCACACGTCTCTGTGCAGGAAGATTTGACCCTAAAAAACTAGTAAATTCCCAGTGCCAAAGACTTCTGAGGTGAAGAAGTCTAAAGTACTCTTCTGACAAAATGCACACACATGCAACATGCACACACAGACACATACACTACACACACACACACACACACACACACACACACAGAAAAGATCAAAGAAAATTAAAACTAGAATGAAAATAAAAGGATAAGAGAAAGAAATGAGGGAAAATGAACAACATATAAAACTGAAGAGGTAGAAGTGAGAAGGAAGAATTTTAAGAAGCCAGAATTTTAAGGGAAGCATGAAAGAGAAAGTCTCCCCTTTATTAGAATATATTACCCAGACGTTCTATAAAAATGACATATAATCCCTAAATAAGAATGTGAAAATTCTGAATTGCGATTGACTGCCACTTGTATGAGAAGTCTTCTTAGAGGAATTTACCCTTCTGTGCTGGTGGCAACTGAGTAAGGAGTTAAAAGATTTTCTGTGAAGTTTAGATGTAAACATTAATGTAACACAGAGCTTTGCAGTACATTAATGATTATGTTGTAATACATGCACTCCACCTTTTAAATAGTCAATGTCCCAAAACCCAAACTGATTTTAAAAGCATGGCCAGAACTAGCAATACTACTCTTTAGAAAATTTTTATCAAGAAAACAAAAGTATTCCAAAACAAGCTCAATCATAACAAAGCAATAGTACTTCATAAAATATAAATACTCTAAAAAGGAAAGAGTGATACAAACAAATAAGCTCTAATAAAATACTTATAACATAGATCAACTATTTCCCAACTAGTATGGAATGACAACTGAATTACAACAGAAAGTCAGATGAAACACCGATGTCTGATGCCTCGTCAAAGTAATTGCAGCGTATGCCATGAAAACCAGACTCAAATTATTTTAGGTTTATAGTTTAACACGATGGTTCTCTAAATCTATTAATGCTGAACAATTTCAAGGCAGTAAGGATGAGTTAATGCTCTTTTAAATTCCTTATGCTGATGCTTAGTTTTGCTTCTTTCAATTTAACATTGAGTTAAATATCCTCCACATGCATAAGATAAATTGTCTTAGTGCCAGAAACAAATTGATCCAAGTATAAATGCTGACCAATCAAATAAGTTAATTAATTAATTTAAATGGCCTCATTGAGAATTTAAAAGGTAATTGTTGAAGCCATTCCTCTAACTCCTGAATGAGACCGCCACCTTCACCACTGCTGCTAGCTCCTTGCAAACAGAGAACATAGCATTTCAGCTGGTCATATTTTATTAAAGCTATTTAAAATTAGGTAATGTTGCCATGACATTTACCATACTTATTCACAAAGTGCTTCTACTTACGTAATTACATTTTCACCTCACAACAACTTAAGATAGCAAGTCCATTAAGGCAAATGGTATCATCATTCCCACGTGGCAGATGAAAACGAGGCCCAGAGAGGTTGAGTGATTTACTCAAGTGGACAACGTGGGGCAGGCACCACTGGCACCCAGATCTGATACCTCCTCGGCGCTCTTTCCACTACAATCGAGCAACTCTCATTCTAAGCCCTGACGTGTATAGCATTTTTAACACACAACTTTGCAGTTTATTTCAATCTGGAAACCAGTGTACTGGTGGGTAATGGGTAAGTCTTACTATTAAACAAAAGCATAAGAATAAAAGGTCTGATGTTTTAGTTCCTAATACTCAACTAACCAATTTTATGGTCATGAATGACTCGAATAGCCTTGTGGAGCCTTAATATGAGTTATAAAAGATGGCTCCAACTAAGAAAAACAGTCAACAGTAATCAAGCTATAAAATAACAACCACCAATGAAATCTCTCTAATACTGAAAAATATCTAAAAGGCAAAGGGCAACGTCATATACAACTTTTAGAAAATGCCATCTTTGGACAAGAGAGCTGTATTTCTTATGATTGTTTTAGAAAAGATCATTTCTGTACATGTGTCAGATAAAAGGTACTCATAAAACATATTTTACAAAAGTAAAACTCGGTGCTTTATTTTTGTATGTACAGTGATAACCTACCCAGAAATGACTAATATTCGCTAAGCAAGCTGAGTACGAACTAAATGTTTCTTTTTAAAATACACTATGGAAAAACAACTAAAAGAAGAAAATGTAGAAACCTTCAAAAACAACCTTAATTTTAAAACTAACATTGGAATAAGAGATATTATAGTACATTTCCTACATTAAATGACATTTGAAAACAGATGAAAAAACATTAAATTGTTTCCCCCACCGTTAACAGCCTTCATGTTATGGTTAATAATAAAACAAATTATTGAACACTATATCTAGGGGGGAAAATCCAAAATAAAAACAAAGCATCCTGTCTGTAATATCTGAAGAGCCACTGTAGTAGAATGATTATCAATGAAAAAATTCAGCTGTACGTATCTGCTTACTTTTAAAGGAATTTAAAATAGCTAATGTTCAAGACAGAAACACCAAATCTGATTATGCCAAAATATTTTTAAAGTGAATACTTACCCAAAATATGCTTACAAACTGCAAATGGTGACTTTGATTTCCTAAATGATAAGAATATGTGCTCTGCATGCTGGCGTTGTTCATTATTGACCATGGAAGGTGGTGCCTTGAGAGTTAAAAACAAAAACAGAGTACGCTTATTTAATGAGAAAGCTTGAGTAACAGCAACCCTTTTACCCACAAGAGGAGAAAATAATTTCACTTTTGGGGGGTATTAGGGAAAATTTCTTAATTTTTTTAAGGAACTACTGTCTAAAACTTGATACTAAATATTTAAAATATGGTTTCAGGAAAAAGGAAGAAATTCCTGGCACGGTTGGGGTCAGAATCCTTTAAAGTTGCTTGCATTTTAGAAAAAGAGATCCTTATCTAACACTTTTTGTATTTTTTAAAGCATAGCTAACTTATCATCACCTTTTATTTCAAGATATACTACTCAGTCTAACTTAACCTAGTTCAAATAATTCCTAAACTCTTCAGTACTAGTGAAATTGAATCTAAGTTATTAAAAGCCAATTGGTAAATGCAATCTTTTAAGATAGAGGATCAAATAATTCTACCTCAAGCTTTCTAAAATCACCATTTAACCAGAAAAATTAGGTAACAGCAAAGGGTTTAGAATTTATAGAATTCCTCTCTGAATAATAAATTAATCAGTCAAAAAAGCCATAATTCCATCTTAACAAAAACAACTTCTAAAGTCTGCCCAGGTTTCTTCAACTCCATTTCGGTGTAACAATCTTTGTTCTAAAGATCATACTCTTTGGAATCAGACTCACCTAAAATATATTAATATATTACTGTTACATGGTTTGGTTATCTTTTGACCTATTAAGATCTACAAATTCTTAATTCGGCAAAGGAGGGTGGGAGTAGATGGTGGGAAAATAAACCTTTAATATTCAAACCAATATAAAGAGAGCAATTCATAATTTCGGCTCTATCAAAGAAACTGGAGGATGAAAAACACTGTAAAGTTCAACACTCATTATAAATTATATCCATTATGCAACATTAGTCTCTCTAATTTCAGTCAAAATAATAATAAAAAAAGATTTACACCCAAGAAAAACTAACTCCTGTGAAACTCTGGCTTAAGAGAATTCTTAGTGAGCTAAAGCTAGGTCAGACTACAATTCCTAATGATATAGCACCCTCTACAGTTCTCTAGATAAAACTGAAAATATTTCCATAAAAGAATTGTATTAAATTCTTTAATACTTTTTATGAAAGCCTTTACTAATAAAATACTGTGAACAGTGGCTATATCCTAAAAGTAAATATTTTTACCCTTCCATTTTCAAATTCTTTATTCCCACCACTTTCCATAGTTGAACAGGTGAGTTTGTGTTTTTACAAGATAGCTCATCATTAACATCTGCTGACATTTCTGACTCTGCATACATGGCATATTAGTGAACATACTACTCATGTTACACTGCTACAAATACAAACCAACTATGGATTACCCAGGCAATTTCTGAATGATACATTCTATCTTTCATCATCCTTGAAAAGCACTATACATGCATATTATGCAACTTAATATGCTAGTTATGTCCACAAACAAAAATTGTTTCTAAAGTTAATGATTCAAAAGATCCTCTCATATCTACATACACTTAATCCACTAAAAAGTACAGGTCTGAATATAATGTTAATATAATAAAGAATGACATTCCATGTATAAAATATTAGATTTTATAAATGAAATATAATCTAAAAGTTAGTTTATATTAACTACCTAGTTAAATATTATCATATAAACAATAAGATTATCAAGTCAATACATTAAATAGGTTGGTATTCACTTTAGTTTCCTAAAACCAAAATTTTAAATTCCTTCTTGAAATTAACTCGGCAATGGTTTCCAAATAGCAAGTTATCTGCCTAAGAAAGTCCTGAAAAATTTTAAAAACAAACAGATTTCCAGCACCCAAAGATTCGACAGGCTGGGAGTCAAAACCAAAAATATGCATTTTCCCTTCAAAGTTCCCCAGGCAGTACTAGCCTTCAGAAATCCTTACCCTTCAGAAATCTGAACTTAGCCTTCAAAAATCTGCTCAGTCTCTTCCCGCTTTGTTAACTTCCCCTGATCTTCCCCCAATCAGCCTGAGCACTGAGCGCAACTGCCCACCTCTCCCCCACCTAACGTGACGCAGCACCTGTCCACCTCTAGCACCGGCTTAGCATACGGGACTTCAAGTCTTCATCTGCTCCCCTTTTCTTTTTTATTAGTTCTCTGACACCAGGGACTTTATTTTATTCACCTCTAAATTGTTAGGGCCACATACAAAAGGGAGAGGCACTTAATGATGACAACTAACATTTATTGATTACTTAGCACTGCAAAGCATTATTTTAGATAGATACATACATTGGAAAAAAGGAATGAAGGAAGGGAAGGAGAGTGGAAGGTTATCTTATTAATCCTAACAACAACCCTATAAAGAAAATATATTACCCCCATTTTACAGATGAAGAAATTGAGGCACAGAGAGATTAAGTAATTTGCCCAAGGTCACACATCAGTAGGAAGCAGAGCTGGAAATTAAACCCAGGTAGGGTCCTAACTCTTAAAAGAAACTATACTTACATGGCTCAAATTTATGTAAGACTCATCATTCTTAAAGCTTGCAGGTAGAAAGGAAGCAAATCTCCCCCTAAAACTCTTCCTCTGGGACCCAACATAGACATTAGGGTGTTTTACA